TAACTGCATGCCTCGAATTTGACTCACGTCGAGGTTTTATCCTGCCCGGTGGGGTTTTATCCTGCCTATCTGCTTTTGCACGGTTACTCCCGGCGGCTGTGTGACTTTTATTGAAGGCTTTGTCGAGAAACCGGGGACCTCAGCGACACCACGTGAAGTACAACTTGTGCTGCGTGACCCAGGTTTCTGTTCCTCTCCGTTCCAGATTTATCACCGGAGTCTTTCTTTGGGTGTCAAAACCTGTTGGCAAAGGGACATGGAGCTGCTCAAAAGCGCCCTGTCCTGCCCACATGAGCAGTCGGGGAAGGCTGGAGGCACAATCCTCTCTCCGAGACAGTTTGAAAAGCCAGTGAAAACCGTGAATCTGCCGGTTGTTCCCTCCCAGCCCAAGGTCAGGGGCTCAGCAGCCGGTCCCTCTGCTCTTCACTGTTGTTTCTGCTGTTCCTTGTCTTTAAGCGCCGGAATAAAAGCTCTGCTTGTAGATACGGGGAGTTGGTTGGTTTTGCTAGTGAGGAAAAATCGATTTGTGCAAAGCTGGACTCCTTTAAATGAGCCGAAGGGCGTTAGATATTAAGATTATGCTGGAATTTGGTGGAAAATAAGACGTGTACTTTCTCAGAGAAAGCAGTTAACCATTCTTACCACAGTGTGAGACCCGTTAGGAGGATGCTCTGTAAAACACATAGGGAAGGAAGCGAGCCTGTCTCTGCAGAAGTGACTGCTGCACCCCAGAGAACGCAACCCAGACTTCTGTACCTGCTGTTGAGACAGGTGTGCTCATTTAGAGATGTAGTAAGGTTGTTTGTTTGTTTGTCTGTTTTAAAGTTGTTTGCAAAGGTCTTAGGGGATATTAGGTGATGTGTGCTGGCATATTTAGCTGTCATGATGCTAATTGCTTTAGGAGAATGAAAATATTTACCTGTACGTAGAACCAAATAGATTTGCGGAGTATATTTATTTAGCGCGCTCCCTTGAGGTTACGCTTGGTATAATGAGTCTTCTGACGGGATTTGAATCGAACCAGGCTAGAACCAACAAAGGAGGCTGTTGCAGCTCTGTCACGTTTGAGAAATGCTTTATATGCAGCCATGCCTGTGCAGAGCAGCTTTCGACGAAGATGTGAGTGGTAATAACTCACTACGAAAACACCTCGAAACCAACTGCAGCCTTCCTGTATAGCAAATGCTAAGTTTGTTAAATTAAGACCTAATGTCACAGGACAAGTACGGCCTCTTCTCAGCTAACATAGAATTGTTTGTTTCCATCTTTTGAGGGAAGGCTGGGGGGTGTTTGGGGTTTTTTTTGTTTTTTTTTTCCCCAAAAAAACTATAGAGAGCAAACTGTGCTGTGTGGACCCTTGCTGTTCCCAGGGGTAGCAGGATCTGAGTCCCAGTCTAAGTAAATCTCCCTCAAAAAAAAAAAAAGAAAAAAAAAAAGAGCTGCTTCTCTGTTCTCCAAGCCAGGATCCTGATTCATGGCTGTTCTTCCTCTGTACCAGAGGTGCCTCACAGGAATATGACAGCAGCATTCACTCAGCTCAGACGTTTGCACCTACTAGTCCCATTCTAAAGATTAACAGCCTCACAGGATGAATTGCTTCTGTGACTGTCTCAGCCTCACTTCTGCTTCAGCGATGCTGTGAGAGCTCGCTTGGTGTGTAGCCTTCTCTGTTCAGCACCAAAAGGAGCGTCTCTGTACTGTGCAAACACAACAAATGGATGGATCTTTATATTCTCTTTAAACGGATAATAAGTGTCCGGATCTTTTAAGCAGCTCTGAAGATTTCTTCCTATTTGCTGAACAGGAAACTTAGCTGCGTTGCCCCAAGTTACGCCTGTTCTCCCAAGTCAGCCTCCTTGTTTTTCTGCTGAGAGAAGCTTCAGTTGTTTATTTGCTTGGCTCCCTCCGAGGACAGGGTCTGCATCCTCCCCTTCCTTTGCAGGATCCCCCTGCCCTGTATCGACAGAGTCTGCTCCAAACACTGACCCTTGCTCCTGGCTGGCGGTGAGAGGCTGTAGCAGAGCAGAAGAGAGGTCTGGTGGTGGTTGGTCCTCTCCTCCCCCTTTTCCAGTTTCTTGAACCACCTCAGCTTGCCGGGCTGGAGTTTGTGTTGAACCCAACTGTGCTAACCACACACAGTGTGCGTAGGCAGTGTCTCTTGAGCTTTGATCCTCGCCAAGCCTCACAAAAAGTTTTACCGTTATGAAAGCTCCAAATTCTCTCGCTGGCCTTGAGTTAAATTGGCCCCCAAACCCAGGCAATAAGGGGGCTGCAGTAGATGTGTGCTTAGAATCACAGAACAATTCAGGTTGGAAAAGACCCTTGGGATCATCGAGTCCAACTGTTAACCCTACACTACAAGGTCACCCCTAAACCATATCCCCCAACACCACACATAAGTGTTTAAGTTGCACATAAGCTTGGGGTTGGCTTCTCTGGGGATGCCCCAAAATAAGTGCAGGTGCTATTCCCAAGCCCTGTGGCCGTTGCCATGGAGCAGATGTGCTCCAGCTGAGGTTTGGTGTCCCAGAACGAGAAGTATTTATACAGGAGCCTCAAGTGACAGTGATATGAGTTGGGGGGTGGGGTGTTTGTCCTGCTGTCAGGGCAGCCTCCAAGGAGTGTGCACCCCCAGGGAAGGCACCGCTGTCACCCTGACATCCTCAGAACCAGCGCGTGCTTGTCGCTGTGGGTACGTGCTTGCAGGAGCCCTCATCCTACTGCTTTGCCAGAGATTTTTCCTGCTGCGTTCTGGCTAGCAATGTCGTGCTGGTTTTACTGCCATTAGGCATCCAGTGGAAATGTTGGGCATGGCCCTCGCCAGCTTTGCCTCAGCCCCGAGCCCCATTAAGCTCCATTAGAGACATCCATTCCCACGCCAGCAGCAGGTCTGCGGCCCCGCTAAGTGCTGCCCCTGCAGACAGTGGATTTGTGAAATTCGCTCCTGTGATGTCAGCAACACGAGGCTTGGAAGTGCTGGGATTCTTGTTTGCCATCTGTTTTCCACGGCTCTTCCCTAATAGACCTCTCCGCCTCCAGGATCTGTAATCAAAACTGTTTGGCTTGTGATGGGAGGGAGGAAATCCCAAATTGTGGAGGAGACAGTGACATTTTGTGACCTTTCCTATGTGTATCTCGAGGACAAACACACTCGAACGAGCGTGCTTGTGCTTATGTTTGTAGGTTTAGTCTTTTGGGTGCATTTCCTAACGCAGGCACTCGGCGAGATGCCACAAGATGCAGCAACCGAGACGAACTTGCAAACCCCTTTTTGGGGGGAGCAGCGTGTTTGCTACTAGTTGGATCTGCAGACTGCTGTGTACCAGAAACGAGCTTGCTCAATATTTCCAGAAACACTCCTCTTGAGAACCCACGTTTCACGTTGCTTGGAAAACCAAGCGTTGCAGCTGCGAGTTGTCCAGGTCAGAGCTGGTGCCGCAGCCCTGTCCGCCTGTGCAGGGACTCTTACAACATCGTCCTTTGCTCTGAAGGGAGTTTGGAGTGTCCAGCCTGTTCTCTTGCAGTTGGTGCTGCCCAAAAACTTGCAATAAGCTACCTTTGTTATCGCACAGCGTAAATTGAGGCTTGTCTTCTTCTCTTTGCACAAAAAATATTACTGCAGTCCCATTTAGAAATGTCTTCTGGAGCGTGATCTCAAACTGAGCAATACTTTCAGAATCAAGCGACGCTTGGTTTGGGATGTTCTTTGTGTGACTTGTGAGATTACTCCAAAGAGTCTGGCATTTAGACAGTGGCCCTTCAGTGGCTTCTGAAAAATTGAGCCATCGCTGAAGCCCTTGCTCTGGTGTGTATATTCAGTACACACGAAAGCCTGGGGAAACACCAGTTCTTGCGATTCCATCAAGACAACTCGATCGAGACTGATAGCGCAGAAATGGGGTCAGTAAATGGTTTGATGACGCTTAAAATATAGAGATTACATCAAAGTAGCACACGGTACGATGAAACATTTCTCCCCTTAGGGTGAGCTGTCTCTCTTTGCCTTTCCCTCTATGTCCTGGTGTTTCCTGTGAGGCTGCATCCCTGGCCATGCCCTGTGCAGGGAACTTTGCTTCTGATGCAGTTGATGTGTGACTGGTGTCATTTTCCTCTCGGGGAAAGGTGCTGTGGCACCTCAGCCTGAGCTACGACTAATTAGAGGTTAAAAGCAGCTGCTTCACCTTAAGTGGAAGGGTCAAAGCCGCCTTAGCTGAGGCTGGACCCGACTCGTTACCTTCTGTGGACTGGGCAAAGAGGGAGACCTGGAATGTGCGCTGGCTGTTGTGTTTGCACCAAGGCTTAAGAAATCCCCACGTGGCGTAAGGGCTCATGGCTGTGGTGATAGATTACGGACCAGAAAAGAAAGGAAAACCTTTCTTTTCTCCAGCTCTGAGCTTCCCCTCTTTTGTAACAAACCTTAAATGGGAGAAACCAAAGGCCTGAGGTTTGTGTTCTTGCTGGGGACAACATGAGGTTTAGTGCCCTTGATATTGGAGCTTTTTCTGGTTTGTCTGTTTTGTTTTTTTTTCCTGTTGTGAAGCATGCAGGGAGACTCTTACAAAAATGCCCCAAGTGCCCTCAGGGGTGCAGGTCTTTTCTTGGGTCCAGTTCATACGTCAGCGACATGACAGCTCGCAGGGATGAGCCTGCTGGGTGGAAGCAGCAGCCAGGACCCGACGTGGAGCTGGAAAAGTCACAACTATTTTCTCAGCCAGTGGTTTCTTCCAGAGAGGGAATCTCCTCCCTGTGCCGCAGAAAGCATGCAGGGCTCTTGCTTTTGCCTGATCTGAGGGAAAAGAGGACAAAGTCCTTTGGGGAAGCTGTCTGAGGAGACTTTCTCCACGGTAACATCTGAATGGAAAGGGTTTCCTGAGCTGTTACTGCGATGTGGTGTGGAGGAGCTGCAGGGTGGGATCGCCTGCCCCTCGGGGAGCAGGGATGGCAGCCAGGGCGAGCTCAGGCTACTTTATATTTCACGTTGTCCCGTTTGCCCTTTGCAGGTGGTTTCATCCCAACATCAGCGGAATTGAGGCAGAGAAGCTGCTCCTGACCAGGGGTGTCCATGGCAGCTTTCTGGCTCGTCCCAGCAAGAGCAACCCGGGAGACTTCACCCTCTCTGTCAGGTGAGCAGGCAGCAGCAGGGGAAGAACTCAGCAAAGGTTTCTTCAGGACCTTGTAACACAGACTTTTTTTTTTCGTGTGTGTGTGTGTTTGCTGGCTTCTGTTTTTAAACAGCCCTCATTTTGTTTAGGAAACTCCAGAGAGTTTATAAATCCTTTGACCAATGCTGTGTTTAGAGAAACTTAGTGCAAAGGATGGAACAAACAGGGCGTTCCCCACCTGGCAGGGCACAAAGCGACTTCGAAGAGGAGGTGAAACTTCCCCTTCTCCTTGTTGCCTTAACTGTTGACATGAAACCCTTCTTGACCTTATTTCTCATGATGGTCACCGGTCTTGAACCCGTGATTCTCTCTGCCAAGCATTTTCTTAGCTTGGCAAAGGGTTTGCAGCTGCCTTGTCTATTTATTTATTTATTTATTTATTAATGCTTCTTTTCACATTGGGGAATTGCAGAATGGTTTGGGTCGGAAGGGACTTTAGGAAACAAACACGTCCCAGCAGCCCGACCCTTCGCCTCTCAGATGGCTCCAAGGGGTCTCATGTTGTGAGGCAGCGCAGCGGAAGGGAAAAAGTCGAGTTTTCCCCGAGCGTTTGCTGGGTGGGGAGTGTTTGGATGTGGTTGCACTGGCTGCCCAGTAATCTTGTGATCAGAAGTGGCTGTGAGTTAAGGAGGGAGGCAGGAAGTGCTTCTAATTGGAGTGCAAAATAAACTCGGTGGCAGAGCTGCCTTGTGCGAGCTGTGGCGGGAGGGGAATGCGTGTGAAACTGGGGGGGGGCTGTCTTCGTGTGAGCCGGGTGTCCCTTTTCGTGTAATTGTGTGAGTCAGGGTGTTGGCTGATCGTAAAGTGAAGCACTGACAGCACCTGCTTAGCCAGGCAGTGTGCAAGCAGATGCAGGTTTTGGCTGTGCAACAGTGTCCTGATGTGGGAAGATACCCAGCCAGCAGCCTCGTTACCCTGACAGCAGCATAAATTGCTTTCCCACACCTGCATCGCTCCGCTCATGCCTTGTGCTGTGGTGTCAGTCTGCAGGTTTTGCTTAATTCTCCTCCCTTGGCTCTGTCCCCGTGCCTCGGTCAAAGGCCACGTGCGTTTCCGCTGCTGTGGCTTGTTGCCTTCT